TACAGACACCCTGGGGATACTGTCTGATACTGTTTTGTGCAGCAGAAATAAAATAAATAAGGTTCTAAAATAGATACTTGATATCATTCCACCATTTGTGTATTCAAATGTCAATTCAACCAATCACTGGTAATGTAGTGGTGGTTACAGTAGCGTTTACAGGGGGAGGGTTGTCACCTGTGCACACGCGGAAATTGAGTCCCAAGCGACGTCAACAACGCACGCTAAAAACGCAATGGGTAGATTCTTGTTTGTAAACTATGACACGCTATGGCCATCTGACACATGCGCAGATGATGACTCCCCCGCTTTAAATTCAACCTTAGTTTGAAAATCAAATTGATTAATCAATTCAGTAGAGTTAAGGGGACTTCCCATCTCTCTAGGTTATTCATTATTATTATTATTTTATTTTTCTTTATTTACTTTTGTTCCTATGATGATTACAATCGTGTTACAACGTATGTAAAATGCATTGTTTTTTTGAAAATGGAATTTGAACTTGCACTACATGCACCGACTGCGACACTTAATATTTATATTCCTATAACGTTTGATTCACTTTCCAGTTTTCCATTTATTGAGCCACCACCAATTTCCAGTATTGAGAATTCTATTATATTCTTAAAAGAACAAGGAGCTTTGACAGAAAACGAGACGTTGACACCGATTGGAAAAATGTTAGCACAATTACCGGTCGATGTTGTCATTGGTAAAATGCTTATCATGGGAACGGTCTTTCATGTAAGTCTCATGTTTTTTTCTGGCTTTACTTCTTTTGAATGAGTAGAGTAAATGAACAACAATGTTTAAATAGCAAGTACCGTAAAATCTGTATTAGAAGCCGCATCCCTAATAGAAGCCACACCCATTCTTTTTGAACAATTCATACCCCGTAATTTACCATTTCTCATATGTGTAGTTTCTCTAATAGAAGCCGCATCTCTTCTGTTGCATTTGTACCATTTCAAGAGAAGCCGCAGCTTTCAATACAGATTTTACAGTACAAGTGCTGACAGCACATATAGTGCACTTTGTCTGGGCCTACTTGATGAGACTACGTGGACTGACCACTTTCCTATCATAATGGTATCATGCCAATTCATTGTGCTCTCCCAGCATTAAAGTATTTTCGCTTCACCATCACAAGCAAACAGTGATAAACAACCTATGTTACCATAAAGTGCTTTTAATTTAGCATTTTTCTGTAGTTGAGTCTCAATGAGCAAATGAAAACGCATTGACAATATATACAATGTACAATATATATTCTTTGTACCTTTATTATAAATGGGAGTCGCGTATTAATATTGGGGGTCTGGAAAGAAGGATATGGGGTTAAGACAATCCCTGGTCCCAACTATGATTCAATATATCATTTGTGTTTCTATGACTACGTTATTGCTATAATTTAGGAATTATGTTAATTATATTCTCAGGTCATTCACCCTGTGTTGTCAATTGCTGCTTCACTGAGTGTACAATCACCGTTTACCAATAAATCGTATCACGATCACGAAGTCTCTGTAAGTAAGGTATTCTTTCTGTCTGTGTGAGATACACTCTACCGTAGTTACTCTTTTGAAAGCACATACATCTCTAGTAGAAGTATGCATTGCATATATTGTGTACTGGATCATTAAAATACAACTTCTTTTGACCATAGACATACCTCTGTTATATACATTTTAAAACATCTGCGCTTCTAATAGAGCAATTACTGTATTCGATTCAGATATACTCATTGCTTTTAACATCTACACAATGTGCTGTACTTTCTCATTCTCTCAAAAGATTTTAGTTTTTACAACTTTAGCTAAGTGGGTTTTGCATAATAGGAGGCATTTCACATAATATTGTGACAAGACAAGTTTTCTAGTACTTGGTCAGCTGACCTGCTTAAATTATTCATGATTTTAAGTGAAATCAGACATATTGAATTGAAATTAAATAATGTGTTGTATTAAAATGTGATTTCAGACTGCAAGGCGCCCTCTAGAGTCTGACCATGGAGATCCATTCACGTTATTAAATGCCTTTGATGAATGGATACAAGTAAGTATGCCAAAGGTCGCGGGCTGTGTCAACTGTTTGACATATCATACGAGTATTTATATGTATTTATGTATTTGGCTACTGCATGCATCAGGCAAAAACGTACGTGTCGCAGGTTTTTCTTAGCTTTTTTTTCAGGATTTTCATGAAAAATCTGAAATTTAATGACAGGTTTAGAAAATAAAAAGCCATCCACATATTAGAAAACAATTTGATCAAAAACATTTTTGTTAGCCTAAACATAAATATACATCCCGAGTTTTAAAGCGCTTCAGTCGTCGCTCTGCGTCGTGTTTGATATGGGACACGAAATGTATCGTCTGTAAAATACATTTTTTGTTTACACAAAATTTGAACACGTGTTGCGTGAGGACTGTAGCGCTTTAAACGTTTACTAAATTACAGGTGAAAGCTGGTGGGAGAAACTCGTCTCGTAAGTGGTGTAAACGCCGAGGACTGGAAGAACAAAGATTTTATGAGATGTCAAAACTCAGACAACAGTTCAAAGATTTACTAAAGGTAAATGTATTCTAATATTAATTATGCAAAATGAATTTTAATAGTGGCTCATTAATATTAATTTAGGATTATTCATTTACAGTTATAGGCTTCGTTCTCATTTAATTCCGGTTCCTGTGGTACATCGCCTCTAATATTCATGCAGCTAATATCAGATGAGATTTGTAATCCAATTAAAGTACACCTTACTAGAAAGCGACATGTAACATCAGTTCTGATTGGTTGCTATTCCTCATGCATCCTTGATTACAATGGTAGTTGATCTGATGGGCAGTCTGTTTGATCTACATGAGATTGCATTACTTTGAGTCCCCTGTTAAATGTTGTATTTCGTTATTTGTTTCTTTCACATCCTTTCAATAATAATATATAACAGACAATTTCACAAGGAACTCAAAATTAAAAATGACCCAAGCCTTTGCATACGTCAGATATTATAAATTTATTTTTTTATTAAATTATAAATTAAATTTGTATGTTCTGTGTTCACTAATACAGGATCATGGTCTGTTTGGTACTGACGTTGAAGACCATCATTACAGCAGTGTTGAGAGGCACCACAGAACCCGACAAAAACAAGAACTAAAGAAATTAAAGCGAGAACACAGACAAGCTACCAGGAAACGCAAAATACTCAAACTGGATCTTGAGGTATATTTTTAGAGTGTTCTAAATCTAATATTTGACATTGATTACCATATTTGTACATCTCCAATAAACCGATCCGCAGACTTTGTGCACATGGCAAAAAACAGCAATCTGATCAATAGAGTGGCAGCAGCTCGACACAAAGCTGGTCTCTATAATATACACACAGAAAATTTGCTTTCAATAGTGTCTTTACTGTCACCACCACATTGCTTCAGACTATCAAACAACAACATTGCCAGCTAAGTTGCTGACTGTTTTGCTTTGTGCGTCTCAAGATTGTTACAGGATTAGAACTTATTAGATGAAACAATTTGTCATTTGGATGTGTCATTCGACTAAATACATATATTTTAGTTGTGTTATTTCACGCACCAGACACACACCAGTGACTGTGTCCTGACATATTTTGTTTAATTTGTTTGGATAACTTTGCCATTTTTTGGTGGAAATAAATTGAAAGGGAATTGCATCTTCTATTGATATCCAACATGTCCTTCCGTACATGACGTCTTCTGTTGAGGTTGGTTTGACCCAACTTGTTCCAATCACATAACAATCTAAAGACGCATACAGAAAACCAGTCAGCAACTTACCTGACAGTGTTGATATTTTGTTGTTGGAAACAGTGTGCTGACGACAGTGCAGTCTTGTCTCAATGTGTATCACTTACAGCAAAGTTATTCAATGTTCTCTTTTTCTGATCCTGGAAACAAATCTTGGCATGTCTCTGACAGCTTTTTATATATTTATGTCTTTAAGGATATTGAAATAAGTGAAGCTAGTGACAGCGAAGACGTAGATATTGCTGATATTGATTTCAAGATGACACATGATATCGACCAAATGCAGGTAAATAAATAAGTAAAAAGCACTCTGTGTGAGTAAACATCTGCCACTGCTGCAGAGTACTTATCTTTACAATTACCTTCTCTTGCAATGGTGAAAAATCCTTCAAACAATCCTGTCTCCATGGCAACCAGATGCAGTTCTTTGCCAAAGTTCTAGTTGATTGGTTCTTGTTTCAAGTCTCTGTTTAAGTTATCATTCTCGCAATCACACTGACTTACAAACCAATGGTGACAAAAACATAACCTCTGCATAAATGAAACCAACGTATATAATTGTAAATAATATTGAAATGAACATTCATTGCTTATAAGTGTTTACAACACCAGTATGAAAGTCTCCAGGGACTGCCTTAGATGACACCTTGACATGTCTCATGAACATATTTGAGTAATTTTTGACTCCCATGTGC